ACTGTAACGATTTCCATTAAATTTTACTTGTAGGTAGTTAGTAGCCCGGGGCAACTTATAGGCTACTTTTTATCCGATTACAGAAGGTTAATTTAAATATTTTTCTTTCTTTAGATATTCATATTATGTTATCTATACATCTATACAAATAAATAAAATAGAAGTGTCTGTTTGTAATGTCAAAATTACAGTTTTTTACTAAATGCATATGAAAGTAAATACGATACCTATAACTAAAATACAATTTTTAAAATTTTTGTCTGTCTGTCTGTCTGTCTGTCTGTCTGTCTGTTTGTTCCGCGTAATCTCCGAAACGGCTGGACCGATTTTGACGGGACTTTCATTGGCAGATAGCTGATTTCACAAGGAGTAACATAGGCTACTTTTATTTTAGAAAAAGAATCAGAGTTCCGCGCAGAAACATAAAAACCCTAACACGCGAACGAAGTCGCGGGGAACAGCTAGTATATGATTATGTTGGTTATTAGACGTGATGACGGGTGTTTTTTTTTTCAAATAAATAAATATTTATTTGAAAAAACACCCGTCATCACGTTTTCAAATAATATTTGTAAATAAAGTTTAAAATTAGTAACATTTTGAAACTCCGCTAACGATATACCTTTTAATTATCAAAACAACGCCATTTATCATCAACTGAAAAAAGCCTATATTTTTCCTTTAGTAACTAATAAATTAAATAATATAAATAACTTACATTTATATGTTTAAATAATTAGATTTGACAAAACACTAAAGGTAATGAGGAGCCCTGTGCACAGAAGTGAGACGTATGTAAGCTGCTACTTTAGTTTTTATACCTTTAATGAGACTTATAAATTTAAGATTTTTGTATTCTTGTGTTTTCATATTATCAGACAAATCAAGATTTTTGTGACAGTCCTGGTTTCTTAGCTCACATGAGACTGTGAGACATGTAAATGAACAGGCTGTTGCGGAAAAATACTTTAATTCATTTGCAGTCATAGTTTACGAAGACTAGAATCAACTTTGAACTAATAATAATGTTTGGTCCGATTTACGCAGGACGAGCTTACATTATCTTGAAGTCTTGCTGTAGTATGCTTCGGTTTGGATTTTATTTTCTTAATTATGGGATCCCAAGTAGATAGTAGCACTTAGCCATCTTCTCTATTGAAGTTAGTATGTTTTTAATTTCAATAGCCTCGCGCGTCATCATTGGTAGGAATCGGTGTTTTATTGCGAGGAATTGATGTCTATCAGATCTGATATAATGGTTGGGATGATACTGAACATGTTGACATACTTACCGGGGCGTCGGTGCTTCACATCAGCAATATGTTCTTTTACGCAAATTTTTATGGAACATACTTCCAAAAATGTTTTATGTACTTACAGCCCGCTTAAATAAAAGTTAAAATGTAATATGATTTTTCAGCAAACCTTCCATCTTCTCTACCGTGAAAGGTGCCTTGGTGTTGTGTCGTGCTGCATAGCCTGTAAAAAACTAAGATATTTTCATGTCGTGTGTGTTTAAGTAGAGTTAATATGTTCACATATAAAACACCTATATACCTACTAATATAATAAAGCAGAAGAGTGTTTTTTTGTTTTTTTTTTTTTGTTGTTTAAACACACTAATCTCTGAAATGTTCAATCTGGTTTGAATTTTTTTTTATATAATATAGCCACATCTATGAGGATCATTCGGCTACAACTCTCAGCTAGCCTTAAATATTAAATCAGAAAAAAAGCGCCTTCGAAATAATTTATCCGCGAGCATAATAATTAGGGATACGTAAGGTAAGTAGGTAGGTAAGATAGGTTAAATACGTAAAATACGTAAATATATTCTACAAAAATATAGATCGTTACTCCATCTAAAAAAAAGTACGTCCGCGACACCATATGCCTATTTCTTATAAATAAGCCACAATGAGGTATTTTGTGATAAAAATTATTGAAAATTAAAAAGTGACTTATGAGCGTCATTATTAGGCATGGCGTATTAATCCTTACCAACGAAAGTTACTTCATCATCAAGACAATTTTATGAACATAAACTTCGCTAATTATAGCATGTTGTTTGGGCGCATAGTTAACACTCGGCTCGTAAACCCTAACTGCCTGATGACAACCGAGAGAAACCAGCAGTAAACTCTTCCATAAGCGAGGTTAGTTCAATCATTTTAGCTAAAAATTTTAAAAATTAATGGAATATTTTTATCTATCGGCATATGTACGTTATAGAGCGAAGTTAAATTTTATCCACTCACCATACCCCTCTCGGGTAAGCGCCTCCAACCCGCGCTCTATAAAGTGTTCCGAAACGCGGCTTTTATCAGTTTCAAAGAAAACCGTACACGATACATGAAAGTGTAGGTACGAAAAGATCCTTGATAAATTTGCTATCAACCTTTTATAAATACAAAAGCGATATCACTTCTAATTGCCACGAAAACTCACATTTTCTTATCATAGATCGATTTTTTTCTCAAAATTATGTTTTCTCAAAAATTTTCCGCTTTACCGCCAAGATATGTACGACTAAAGTAAAGAATTTGGCATAGCAGATAATGGACCGAGTGACGTCATGCCAAGGTGGCAACCAAAGTAACTGCTGTTTGAATTCATTCTTAGCTATTGCAAATTAAATATTTTACTTCATGACACTTAAGGGGCGTAAAAAGTTAATATGATTTTTTTCGTGTGATGGAAGTCATGGTAAATAGATTTATACAATAAAACAATCATGTTCCTAATATTATATCGAAAAGCATTTCAAACTGTAACATTCCTAAAACGAGGTTATATTTACTAGCGTCACCTACTGGGGAATAGCTAAATGCTTAGCGTTGTTTTGCTATTTTTAGCTAGAGGGTGCCACACGCGCACTAGCTCACAGTTTTTGTATATAAATGTTCCCAATGTCCGCTCTATAGTATGCTTATATATTAAAATCTATTTGGTGTCATGTCATGTCGCGAGGCTCAAACGCGTGATATACCTACATACGCGCGTGAAACCACAGCTAGTTTCATAAAATAACTAGCGTTTTCTTTGGGCCCAAATCAATTCAATAGAATTATGTTGGCAGTGGTATGGTGATAGTCTTATAACTTTATGCCCGTGCTCTTCTGCTAATTTATTAATAACGTACAAAGGTGTACGTGGTTTAGTTCGCTTTACTAATTGTATTATCTCTGCTTTCAATAATTTCATATACTTATGTTGCAGCCATGCTACTAAATCTACTTTCTTATTCGCTTGGATTGGCGTTTTGTCGATTTGGACAGAATGGTACGAGGCGATGTACATTATTTTTGTGCTATTCGCAGGAATATTTTATAAAGGGGTTATAAACCACTCCTTGAGTTTTTCTGCAGCCATTTCCTCGTGGTATTCTCTTGTACTCTTTGATTGTAACGCTAATATACAATTTTCTACAAATACTCCTCCGGCGGATCCGGCATGACAAATTATGAGGCGCCCACTTTTTCCCACGGGTACCTTTGTGCAAGATGCTGCAGTATTAGCTGTCCATATCTGCGGCACAGTGTGGTTGGCGTTTAACCACTTTTCATCAACTAATATGACGTTGCCCCATTTAGTTATATTTTTCGTTTCTCTTAACAAAGTTATTCCTTGCAAGGCTATGTCATGCCTCTCCATAATTATTTTGCGTTCACCATTTTTTTTTGTATCGGAAGCCCATGCATTTTAAAATAGTGCTTAGTGACTCTATACTACCCTTGTACAAGCCGGTATCTACTAAACTTTCTTGCAACTTCGCCGCAGTAGGATATTCGCCCCTTGTGAAATAGCCTTAGACATGGTTTCTAACAGCATCTGCGTCGAATTGGTCGATACCTGTTACTGGTTTATTCTCTTATAGCTTTTTCGACCTGTGAAGTAAATTATTCTCACTGCCTGAAGGCCCGTACTTATCAGTGACGATCTTTGCACCGATGCGGTTTTTTAACATGGGGAAATGCCTACACATCGCCTTGAGTGGGCATGGACGGGTTATGTCGGACTCGCACCGACTAAAACCCCATGATGTGATGTGATGTGACAGGAACGCTTACGCAAACATCTGCGGCGCGCCGGCCGCCCCATGTCGGCTCCTCCTCGGGAGAGGCACAATGAACGGTAAAAAGATTAAAAAATAGTTTAGTGCACGAAACTGAATAACTTCAAAAATTAACTGTATTTTTAATATATTCAAAAATAATTAAAATATATTCATATATCATGTTCCTGGAAATAAGCTGCACTGAAACAACTGAAATTTTCGCCCCAGAAAATATTTGCTAAAATGCTGCAATGACTTTACCACAGCAAGCAATTCCCGTCTTATGGCACAATAGTTCCTTTCCGGCTTTTACAACGACTTGCTGAAGTACGTATCTCAACCTCTTGATCACCATTCCGTTGAAATAACACACCGCCAAGTCCTATATCACTTGCATCTGTGTCAACTGTAAATTCCTTGCCCGCATCAGGGTACCCCAAAATAGGTGTTTGGCAAACACGGCCCTTGAGCTCCTGGAATGCGATATCGCAACTTTTATCCCAGCAGAAATGTCGCATCTCCTCGGTTAGCTTGTGCAGAGGTTTGGCTATATCTGCAAAGTTCTTCACAAATTGCCGATAATATACACCTAAAAATGCTCTAACCTCCGTCTTGTCTTTTGGAACCGACCAATCCTTGACAGCGGCGATTTTCTCTGGATCCGTGCCGATACCTTCTTCTGACATTACATACCCCAAAAAGCTAACTTGCCGTTTGAATAGTGAACATTTCTTCGGACTCAACTTGAGGTTGGCACTCTGGATTTTCATGAGCACACGTTCCGGGTTTTGAAAGTGTTCCTCAAACATCAACAACGGCCTACGACGATGATGTCATCCAAGTAGACATCGGCATCGCCAATTAGCCCGGTAAGTACAAGCTCCATCAACCTTTCAAATTTTGCTGGAGCATTGCACAATCCAAACGGCATAACTTTAAATTGTCACAGACCCTTTCCTGTCGAGAATGCAGTTTTGTCCTTGTCCTTAGGGTCAATTTCAACCTCCCAGTAACCACTTTTCAAGTCCAGCGTGCTAAACCACTTTACTCCTGTAAGCACGTTTAGCGTGTCTTCAATTCTTGGCAAGGAATAGCTGTGCTTCTTCGTAACGTCGTTTAGGCGGCGGTAGTCAACACAAAATCGCATGGTGCCGTCCTTCTTTTCTACCAGCACCACAAGTGAACACCATGGACTAGATGATGGTTCAATAACACCATCCTTTACCATTCCCTCAATCATGGTCTCCACTTCCTTTTCACGTGCTACCAGCAATCTTCTTGGCCGCTGACGGATAGGCAATTCTTCTCCTATGTTTAATTTGTGTTGAATTAAGCCAATCTTTCCTATGTCAGCATCGTTTGACGAGAAAACATCGGCGTACTTGAGTAACAACTTCTACGCCTCGACCATTTAATTCGAGGAGAGAGCGCTGCCACAGTCTTCTAAATGTGTGGTCATTCTCGTTTGTGAATTCTTGCTGGGGGTCCCAGTCGATAGATATTGGTATCGACGAAAACAATCCAATTCCTTACTAGTACCAACCAGTGTACCTCTTTCTATAATCTGTTCCTGATCACAAAGGTTCAGCACTCCTGAGATGTCGGTGGTTCTGACCAAGGTTCGCGAAACTTTCCATTTAAGGTCATGGTCCCTTTCCACGAGAACACAACGGTGAGCTTGCCCAGGATTCCGAGGAAGACTAAACGGCCCAATCGTTTCCTTTCCGATCTCGGCGGGAGAACAATCTTCTTAAGGCTGTACACATTCCCTAGTCCCCCTGTATCCTCTTCCACGAAAGATTCCTTTTGACATTTCAAAACACCTTGCTTAACGTCGATCTCACAACAATTCTTCCTCATAAAGTCCAGGCCCACGATGCAGTCGTCCATTATATCAGCCACGATGACATTATGCAGGTAGATCATGTTGCATAGCTTCAACTCCATCTCTTTCTCTCCACAGACGGGTATGCGCTGACAAGTGGCTGTCACCAAAATTAATGCGGTCTCGGTCCCCAAGGAACTGACTTATAAGTTGGGAACTAACAACCATGCGAGAGGCTCCAGTATATATGGTCAGTTTACATGGCATTCCGTTGACCTCGCCCTTGATGATTAGGCTGTTCCCATCAAGGTTTTGCGAGATCGAATTCCTTGCGTCCCTTTAAACTACAGTCAGCACCCGCCCTGCAATCCTGGCTTTTACTCGTTTCCCTGCTGCTCCTGGGTGGTGCTGTTATCCGTACTACCCTCTAGAGATCGATCACCTCCCCTTTTTACAGTTCGCTTAGGGCAGCTGGATCGAAGATGGCCACTTTCCCCACAGCCGTAGCACTTAGGGCTGTATCATTTATTGCGGTCGCGGACTGTAGCTGCTGCAACCTCCCTCACGCGGTGGGAACGATGATCTGATGTCTCGTGGTGCCCGCACCCCACAGCAGCTCTGAATTCAAGGTTGCGGATGCCGTCGATGTATGTCTGCACCAGGTTCCCTACAATGATCGCATGTACAGACTGGTATGCTTTTCGAACCAGCTTCTCCACCTCAAGGGCCCACTGCTGCAGGTTTTCGTTGTTGTGTTGCACGCGTTGTTGTGTTGAGCTGCGCACGAAAGACGTGTTCCAGGTGAGCGTCGCCATATCTCGCCTCCAATGCTTCAAGGACCTGCTTGTGAGTCACTTCCACAGAGAACAGTTAATGCCTGGTCGCGCAGGCCTAAGGTGAGAGCAGTCTTGGCCTAAATTTTATTCGAGCCGTTCGCCTTCATGACAACCTCGAACTGGATTTTGTAGGCCGACCAGGAAGAAGTCCCATCGAACGGCGGCACGATGAACCCACGTAGCGAAGGTGTTGTAGCTACCACGGGAGCAGTAATTCCATCCCCAAGTTTGAGGTCGTCCAGCTTTTTCTTCACGACAGCCATCACGTTTTCAACCCGATTGTTCATTTGGTCGATTCAGGCTTCAGCTTCCGATAGGCGGTTGTCATGTTGAGCAACCCTATCCTTCACCGCCCTTATCTCTTTCCCGAACGTAGCATGAAGGTCCTTCATGAGGAGCATCTGCTCTTCCTTATCGCGTTTGAGCTGCTCTTCCAAACAATGGGTCTATTTCTCCTGTAGGCGGGCATGATCCTCCTGTCGGTGGGCCTGTTCCTTCTGTCAGTGAGCCTGCTCCTGCAGCATCAGCATCCTAAGTCAGGCGCTGCAGACAGACCGGGCTTCGTGGTCGGCAGCTGGCCCTCCGACGTATGCGGCGTTGCACCACCAAATGGTCTCTGTTCCATCTCCTGCTGGCATTAACTTCGGGTACGGATACCCTCCGTGTCGTCCTTTGCTAAAACCGTACCAATTGTTACGAGCTTGGGGTTCGAGAGAAATAAAAACTGCCGATTGAATTACTAAAATTGACACTTTAATTACAGAACACTAATTAAACCACACTAAGAACCAAACACAATTTTACTACTGATCACTTTAGTTCGCAGTTGTATCGCTTCGAAGTATTCGCTTCTATCGCCAATTCAACACTGATCCCGGTCGCGGTCTATACCGGCCTTATATAGGGCCTCAGATAGTTCCATAATATTCTACTGTAAAAAATTCTAGAATGTTCGAGTACATACCGGTCCCGAATGACTAGGTGTCGATAGTTCTAGAAATTTCATCGACCAGGCTACAGATTCCTTGCTACAACAGGTCCCCTCCGCAGAGATCGTGATCCTTGGCAATTTTAAAGCCCACCACGCGGAATGACTCGGTTCGTGTTTAACCGATCATGTGGGGAGATCTGTTTATGACTTTGCCTTGGCATATGGTCTGACACAACTGGTTACATCGTCTACGCGGATTCCAGATGTTGAGGATCATACACCTTCCCTGTTGGACCTTCTGCTGACCGCTCATCCGGACGGATATCAGGTTTTCGTCGATGGCTCTTGGCCCTTCGGACCATTGTCTGATCCGGAGTATGGTGTCACTCACGCTCCCCTCGCGATTGCGTTCTGCAGGTTGCCGCCGTGTTGGGCATTACAGGTCATCGGATTGGGACAGAATGCGGTCTTTCTTTGCTTCCTACCCATGGGGGCGTGTTTGCTTCTCGCCGGACGATACCAGCGCTGTTGCTGACTCTGTCACTGATGTGGTGCTACAGGGAATGGAACTATTTATTCCATCATCTGTGGTACCCATCGGAGGCAGATCTCAGCCTTGGTTTGGTCGCTCCTATAAGACTGCATTACGCAGTAAGCAGGAGTGTTATCATGCCTGGGCTGGGGCTTCGGCGACTCGGGATGTAAACAACAGCGTACTTAAAAAGAAATATAACTTCGCCTCCAGGTCCTTCAACTAGTTCGCCTTCTTCGGGAACCCGTGCATTCTGGTCTCTCGCCAAGGCTGTCCAAGGGAATTTCTGTAAGCCATCACTACCATCTCTGCACAGGGAGGACGACTCACTGACCCACGACGCAATAGAGAAAGCCAACCTGTTAGGCTCCCTTTTTGCGTCCAACTCGACTGTTGATAACGGGGGGAACATACCGCGGTGTGAGTGCTCCATGCCGGATGTGCGGTTCTCACAGCGTTCGGTTCGCAGAGCCCTCCCCTCCCTGGACATCCATAAATCGAGTGGGCCTGACGGAATTCCCCCAATTGTGCTGAGAACGTGAGCTCCGGAGTTGGCACCTGTTCTAACGCATCTTTTTCGGTACTCTTACTCCCTAGGCGTAGTCCCGAAATCATGGAAGACAGCTTTTGTCCACCCGATGCCTAAAAAAGGCGAACGCTCAGACCCGTCCAACTACAGGCCTATCGCCATCACCCCCTTGTTCTCCAAAATAATGGAATCCGTTATAAACTGCCACCTCATGCGGTACCTTGAGGATCACCAGCTGATTAGTGACTTCCAATACGGTTTTCGTCGGGGTCGATCAGCTGGTGATCTTCTGGTCTACTTAACTCATAGATGGGCGGAGGCAGTAGAGTCCAAGGGGGAGGCATTGGCCATTAGTTTGGACATTGCGAAGGCCTTCGATCGGGTTTGACACAAAGCGCTTCTTTCGAAGCTCCCTTCCTATGGGCTTCCCGAGAAATTATGCAATTGGATCACCAACTTTCTTGCAGATTGGAGCATCAAGGTCGTTGTAGATGGTGCATGCTCCGACTACAAGCCTATTAACGCTGGTATTCCACAAGGCTGCGTGCTATCACCAACGCTGTTTCTTCTGCATATCAATGATATGTTGCAAACCGGTAGTATTCATTGCTATGCGGATGACAGCACTGGTGATGCTCTATACACCGGCCGTGCCAATATTTCTCGGGAAAACGTCGCCGAGTACCGGAAAAAACTTGTGTCTGAAGTCGAGTCTTTGCTGGACAAAGTCTCGGATTGGGGGCGACTAAATCTAGTCCAGTTTAATCATCAGAAGACACAAGTTTGCGCGTTTACCGCTAAAAAGAACCCCTTTGTCGTATCTCCTCAGTTTCAAGGTACTCCCCTTGTTGCCTCAGCCAGTATCGGAATCCTCGGCGTCAACATATCGAGTAACGTGCAGTTTCGTGGTCACTTGGAAGAGAAGGCCAAATTGGCCTCTAAAAAGCTTGGCGTGCTCAGCAGAGCGGGACAGTATTTCATGCCGGCTCAACGCCTGCAACTTTACAAGGCGCAGGTTCGGCCTCACATGGAATACTGTTCCCATCTCTGGGCTGGGGCTCCCCAATGCCAGCTCCTTTCACTTGACCGCATCCAGCGCAGAATGGCTCGAATCGTCGACGACCTAGCCCTTTCGGATCGGCTCGATTCACTGGCGCTGCGAAGAGATGTTGCATCCATTTGCATTTACCACGGGAAGAGCTCTGAGGAATTGTTCGAATTAATTCCAGCCGCCAAATTTTACTAACGCACATCGCGGCATAGCTCCCGATACTATCCACACCATCTGGATGCTTTGCGGCCCACCACTGTACATTTCACTAGGATTTTTCTTCCGCGTACGACCTCTCTGTAGAATAGCTTACGACCGGCGATTTTTCAGGACCGATACGACTTAGGGACCTTTAATAATTGCATTGAAACTTTAAACAAATGCGAAACATAATGAATGCAAAAATAAACTAATAGAAAAATACCAATTATTAATAATCAAATCTTGAATTTTGCAATAACACCGCAAAGAATCCCGTACGAATAAATTATCTGTAGTGATGAGGATTTTTTGTTTAAGAATAATATCTGTAAGGA